GCAGAAGAGCAGTGAAGTGGTTAATTAAAAACGATTTTCAGTGTGAAAAGATGCATAGTGTGGCATTATTGTTTATATCCTTCATTTCTATTACTTTAGAATGCCAGTACGGCTTGTGTAGTCCAGAAAAGTCGCATACCTCTGCCTGTACTCTCTAGAGTCCAAACAAACTTGTACTTTCTTCCTTGGGTTTGGCTTTATTTGTAACTCAAACAACAATTAAAAATATATATATATGACTATCTGCTAAGCTTATTTTCCCAGTAGAACATCCTCTGTCCCAGGCCCTGTTTCTCTCTGCCCCGAGAGAGGCTGTAAGCCCCTTCATGCCCTGGGGGAACTGACTGAATCTTCCTGCCTGTGTAACTCAGTATTAATTGCACTGTATCTTTATGCAGGGTTAAAGCACCTGACAGCAGGATAAGTCAGCAAAATAACGCTGCATCCCTATGCAGGGTCCTTTTTCAGAGTGCTGTAATACAATGTGATTGACAAATGTTCACAGAAGAGTGGGATATCAATAGTATTGAGGATGATAACTTAGCAAAACAGTATAAGCACTAATACGTGTAATGCCCAAATGTCTGTCATTTTAAATTATGGCTGTAGCCAGTTTATGGTTGTACGAAGTGAGCTGTTGTCTTGATGCATTTTTTAGGGTTTGTCTACGTGATTGGGTAGTGAGCTGCACAGAAGTGTGATTCCTAAAGTGCACTAACATGTTGTGCATTGATTGGTGTGCTTCAAGCACTGTTTCAAACAGCACTATGATAAAGTGCATTAGAGAACTTTTAGTGTGCTCCAGCAGGGTTAACGTGGACCAATTAGTGCAGAGCACATTAGTGCGCTTTAGAAATCACATCCCTACAGGGCACACTGCTGCACCATGTAAACAAGTCCTTAGAGAACAGGTGTTTGCATAACAAAAAATACCAGCCTAATTAGCACTCTTAGTAGCAAAGTAAGGATCACACAGAATAAACTTCCTCATTATTCCTGGCATAGGTCCCTCAGGCCAATGCTGACCCTTTCATGTACCGTATGTTTTAAGGAAAACACCTAGAATATGCAAGAATTTCCTTAACTACATATGATCATTACATCTTCCTTGCATCTTGAGTAATTGATTTGTTCCTGCCTTGCACTCTCCATGCACTCTCATTGGTATAACAAAACACGTAAGCTGGGTGTCGCAGGGTGGACTGGGCCCTTTAAGAGGGAACTGGTCCAGGCCACCTGTGCCTCACTAACAGCCTCTCCAGGGGGCCTGATAGAGAGCTGCTGGTCTCTATAAAGAGCCAGAAGGGAACTGAAGATACAGGGAGGAAGCTGGGGCAGAGGTTGAGAGAGCTGCAATGAGCAGAAGACTCCTTCAGGAGACCCTTGATCAGGGGAAAACTTTGGGCCTGGAAGCCAGAGAAAGCTATAAATACAAAACACATAGTAAGAAGCCCGCAAGTAGCGGGACAGGGCTCTTTATGGGACCCTGAAACAACAGGGGAGCAGCAGAGGGTAGGTTTTGCCTGCTGATGTCTTGGAGCCAGACTCTAAGTAGGAGAGGCCTAGGAGTGGCAGCTTGAATTATTTTGGGACTTTCAGGACAGCGTGAATTATTTGGAACTTTATTTTAATAAACCAGACCCCAAGAAGGGCTGTTTTTGTTGGACCTGTGAAAGCTTTTTGTGAGTTACTGAGGATGCTGAGGGGAAACTGAGGCTGGGTGCAGCAGCGCCATACCTGGTCATGAAGGGGTGCTTGGGAGGCAGCTGGCCCTGGTACATCGGTCAATCTGCAGAACTGATGTTTTTTACCAGTGCTGAACTAGTTCTGGGTATAAATAGAGGGCTTGTGTTTCTAATCCTGTCAATCTCGTAATTCATCTAGATTCCCTTATTTGTTTTAACGGATAGGCTTAAAGTCATACAATACCCAAAATGGAAACTGGTCATTTAAGAAAGTAATGCCCTAAAGGTCTTTACAGTATTGCATGTGGACCATGTTCTGGAATTGCATCTGTACTTGAGGTTTGTTGCTTTAAAGGAAAACATTTAGTACAACAAATTGTCACAATCATCAATTTGCAACCAAAGATCAGAAAATGACGTGTTCAGTATAGGTGAATATAGACTAACCAGGGCCGGCTCCAGGCTTTTTGCCACCACAAGCAGGGGGGGGTGGGGGAGCCGCGATCGCGATCTGCTCTATCGCCGCCGCTTCAGTTTTCGGCGGCAATTCGGCAGCTGGTCCTTCGCTCCAAGAGGGACTGAGAGACCCGCCGCCAAAGAGCCGGACGTGCTGTCCCTCTCCGTTGGCCGCCCCAAGCACCTGCTTGCTGGGCTGGTGCCTGGAGCCAGGCCTGAGACTAACATGGGGACTACAGTGCTAAGCGTAGCGGAAAAATACTCCTAATTCAGAACTACAGTTTAGCCTGTTGCTTGCCAAATATCTAGTAACTGCCATCAGAGTAAAAGGGGAAAGTTGCTCCAGCAGCAACTGCGTCAGTAGCAAAGACCAGGCTCCTAGAGAAGGAGCAAAGGAGAAGTGCATAGAAATGGAGAGGTAGACCACAAGAGGAAAATGAAGGTGGAAAATTGACAACAGGAAGGTGAGGCTGAGGGCAGCAGTAACAGATAAAGTGAAGGAGAAGTGCATTTCCAACAAGGGGAAGGGAAGTAAAACCAATATAGGAATGTAGAAAGCAATAGCCAGGGTGTATTCATAGATATACAGTTAGGCAAATTTTGAAGCAGAGGCAGGGGACTTGATTCTCCACTCACTCACATTAGGTTTATGCAGTGAGTGTAATTCAACTGATGAGCAGACACTACAGAGATGATAGCCAATGCCATATAAACATCTATACAGACAGATGTCTGGTAGATTCAGTGACGTTATTCCTGATTACTCTACTTGGAGGGAGAATATGACCCTATAAATTCTACTGTGGGGCTACACAAACTACTTGAACTTTATTCTTCTGGTTTATTACGTCCCCAGAACATCCAATACAACTCCATCTGTCATATGCAATGTAGTTGTAGCTGTGTCCATCCCAGGATATTAGAGAGATAAGGTGGGTGAGGTAATATCTTGTATTGGACCAACTTCTATTGGTGAGGGGGACAGAAAGCTTGTCTCTCTCACTCAGAGAAGTTGGTCCAATGAAAGATATTACCTCACCCACCTTGTCTCTCCATGAATTATAGTTATGTTATTTATTCTGCTTCTACAGAGCCAAATCCTGAAGTTCTTACTCTGTTAATAATCAGACTGTATTCAGGCAAAACTCCATGGGAATTCTTCTGGAATAGGGTCTGAGTATTAACATAGTAAGGACTTCAGAATTTGACTCTTATTCAATATTTACTTAAAATGCAATACAAAATTTCATATTAGAAATACTAATACAGCATTTTGCTTAAAAATAACCAATTGCAAAGAAAAATATAGCAAATTATTTTTGTGAATCAACCAGTTTATAAAAAAGTCATCTTATTGTTATATTTTGGATACATTTTGTAGAGAGTTTTCTGTATCATTAAGATCAGACTGGCTCAGACATACTATATCATTAGCTTCTTATACATTAATTTGATATGACATATAACTCAATTAAACATATACTCTAAATTTTTCCTGTATCATCTGCAATAAAAAAAATCTCAGAATATACTGCTGTTCAAAATCTCATAATGTGCAGTAAGCAGGGCCTGCCTGATTTGTCCACTAGAAATCCATGTCTTGGAAATGGCAATCCAAATTTCCCCTGCAATTTTGCCATCATTTTGTTATACTATTAAATGTAATAGTTTTCTTCTTTGAATCTTGGTCTGTGAATACTCAGCTCTGACTTGAATAGTCAGCTTGTGGCCAAGATAGATCTTTCCTTTCTTTGAGTGGAAAAATACTTAGTGAGGGTTTTGCATCAGGTTTTATTTTCTCTTTTCAAAATGTGATAATTTTTAAAATGACACCTTACAGTCATAGCATCAGGGCATTGTGCCCAATTGCCATACATGGCAGTGAGACACAGAGTCTGTGACTTTGCTCTCTTTGACCTACCTTAGGTGGCAATGGAGAAGTCTTGTGGCAAACATTAAGGGATCTTTCAGATTATGGAAAAGCCTAATTGATTGTTGTTCTTCGAAACCCCTAAGACTAGTAGAGCTGTGTGAATAAATGATTTGGGGGGGGGGAGGTACTGTGGCTGAACAGGAAAAAAAATGTTTTGGTCAAACAAACAAAATGTTTGGTTTCGTTTGAGGGTGGTTTTTTACGTTACCAAAAAATAAAAATAAAATGGAAGTAAAATTTGAAACAAAAAGTCATTTAGAATCAAAGTGGAAATATTCAGGTTCAAAAATGTTGAAACAAAATGTTTGACTTTTTCAGAATTGTTTTTTTCAACCAAAACAATTTAGGGCCTCCCAGAGGGCGGCGGCAAATGGGGCAATTTGCCCCAGGCCCCCGGCCCTGCAGGAGCCTCCATGAGAATACAGCATTCTATAGTATTGCAACTTTTTTTTTATGGAAGGGGCCCCCGAAATTGCTTTGCCCCAGGCCCCCTGAATCCTCTGGGTGGCCCTGAAACAATTTGGCAAATTTAACCCACATTTTTAAAATATTTTGATCAACCCAAATCTGTGGGGGGGTTCCCATTAAAAAAAACATTTTGTCCAAAAAAATATATATATATATATCACCCAGCATTAGACAGTTTAGAATGGATATATTTCCCAGATTAGAGCACCAAGAGATAGCTCATGCATATACAGTCATCTCACTGAGAAAGATTCTTGTGTTATTTCCTTTAATTCTATTACCCTTTATTATACTGCTGTTTAGAAACTTGTAAATACTATATATAATTCTACCAAAATTCCTTTGTTACTTAAGATAATATAGTGCCATTTTATTAAATGCGCCTATTTGTGAAATGCAGAATCAATGGACATATTTATTCAGTGTTCTTAATTCTTTAATATTCTTTTCTTTTTCAGTTTTCTTCTTGTATTTGGTTGCTTGATTTTGTCAGTGTTTTCTACCATTCCTGAGCACGCAAAACTTGCCTCTCGTTGCCTCTTCATTCTGGTAAGTGAAACTTATGAATACAGGACAATTTCACAGCCACATTAAGTATGTTAAACTCCATCTCACTTTAGACAGAGAAAGGTAATTTATGCTTTAAAAAAAAATTCATCAACAAGGTAAAAGAATCAAAATAGGCCCATCATAAACAAAAAATTGACAGGATCACCATTTCCTTTGGGACTTATTCTACATAAGGAAATGTTAACAAACACATGATTGTATCTTTGTTCTCCTCTTGAGAATTGCCATACTTCACTACTAATAGTTCTTCTGCAGCTTGGTTGATAAAGCATGAAAGACCTTTGATACTGCTGTTGTCACTTAAAGTCAGTTTGTGACAAGAGATACTGAGCTACTACAATCTTTCTTTATACTTAAAACAGGAAATAATTTGGGTATTTTAGCTACCAGTGTGTTAACCAATGTATTAACTGTTGGTAAATACTGACTTTTTAATGGCAATTTTTCTGTAGAGTAGGGTAGTTTCATGACTTTCTCATTAAGTGTTTTTCTATTGTATTTTCCTCGTTTCCTTTTCCTTGTGATTTAAGTATAGTGAATCTAATCTAGAAAACTGCTTAACATTATTATGATTGGTAAACTGGTGCAAGCAAATAATGTTTTAATATGTCCAAATGTAAACTTATACATCTAGGGACAAAGAATGTAGGCCATACTTACAAGATGGGAGACTCTATCCTGGAACGCAATGATTTTGAAAAAGATTTGGGGGTGATGGTGGATAATCAGCTGAACATGAGCTCCCAGTGCAATGCTGTGGCCAAAAGGTCAAATATGTGTAACGGATTCATAAAGAGGTGACTCTGTAGAGAGGTTATTTTATCTCTGTATTTGGCACTAGTGTGACCGCTGCTGGAATGTTGGGTTCAGTTCTGGTGTCCACAGTTCACGAAGAATATTGATAAAACTGGAGAGGGTTCAAAGAAGAGCCACAGGAATGATGAAAGGATTAGAAAACAGACTCACAGAGCAAAATCTATTTCATTTAACAAGGAGAGGGTTAAGGGGATGACTTGATCACAGTCTGTAAGAACCTACAGGGAGAGCATATAATCCATAAAGTGCTCTTCAAACTAAAAGTTAAATATATAACAAGATTCAATGGCTGGAAGCGGATGCTAGACAAATTCTGACTGGAAATAAGGTACACATTTTTCACAGTGAGGGTAATTAACTATTGGAACAACTTACCAAGGGTAGTGGAGGATTCTCCATAACTGGCAATTTTTAAATCAAGATAGGATATTTTTCTAAAAGATATGCTCTATCTTAAACAAGCATCATTTTGAGAAAGTTATATGGCCTGTGTTATACAGGAGGTCAAACTAGGTTATCACAATGTTCCCTTCTGGCCTCTAAACCCTTCGTGCTGAGCCAATGATAGCCAATGGGGGTACAATGGTGTTAATTTAAAAAGTCACCAGACATCACAGAGTTACCATGGATATTTTGTATTCCAAGAACACAAACTGCAGCATGTTAGGTAGGCTCCACTGCATAGCGACTATTGACGAATGTCGACTTTTTGATGGCAATCACTGTATGTGCTCATTACTGATTCTCATCATAACAATTCCTAAGTAGTTAAGGACTGGGCAGGCTAATTGATGCATTGTAATTTCCAATGCAGTTACTTTAGTGATTTCAGATAGCATTCAGATCCTGTTCCCTTATTTACTGATTTGAGCAACACCTTTGTAATGAGTTTGTTTGGGCATCCTATAATTGATTTTGTTAATGTAACTATTCAACTACTCTTAAAAACCAGGGATCAGCAACCCTTGGCCCGTGGCCCACCAGGGTAAGCACCCTGGCAGGCCAGGCCGCTTTGTTTACCTGCCACGTCCACAGGTTCGGCCGATTACAGCTCCCACTGGCCGTGGTTCACCGCTCCAGGCCAATGGGGGCTGCGGGAAGCGGCGCGGGTCAAGGGAGGTGCTGGCTGCCGCTTCCCGCCGCCCCCATTGGCCTGGAGCAGTGAACCGCAGCCAGTGGGAGCCGCGATCGGCCGAACCTGCGGACGCGGCAGGTAAACAAACCGGCCCAGCCCGCCAGGGTGCTTACCCTGGCAGGCCGTGGGCCAAAGGTTGCCGATCCCTGCTTAAGTCAGTCTCTGTCTGCAATGAGTTCACCCTGAAATGTCACTGTAAAACACCCTTTTGGGGTCCTACATTTACTCTCAGTGATCTGTTTAGGTCCACTGAGATCTGTACATAAGCTTTAAGCATATAGGCCAGATCCTCACTGGTGTAAATCATCACAGCTTCACTGATTTGGACTACTGTGTGTAACTGTCCAACCCTGCAACCCCTTCTAGTGTTTGGATTTTAGAGTTTCTCTGTCTCTCGTATGATCCTGAACAATTCAGAATGTAGAAATTATGACAGCTGTATATTACAGTGATGATCTTAATAGAAGTGGGTGGATAATCTGTGAGGCATTAATACTAGTTGTAGTAGTCTGAGCCAACATTTCTATAGAATATCCCTATGTGTTTGTAGCAAGAACAGGGCCTGTGATAAGAAATTTTTACAGTTCCTGCTGTGGCTCTCTCATGGAGAATGTATAAGGTCCAGGAGCAAACTGAAACTTAAATTGGTTCATTCCTGTTTGCTGGACCACATGTTCTTTCCTTCATTTGCTGACTCGTTAGTTAAAGTTTGCAATGACATAAAAATAATACAACTCAACACTAATGTTTCAGCAATCATTTTGACTACGTAAATTCACTGATTGCAGTGTTTAGTGCCACCAATTCTCACAGCCCCTTTACATGTAATGATTCACACGGTTCTTGCAAATGTTCTGCTTACACAATTTACCACAGACAGTTATATTAAATATCAAAGAACTGTTTATTTCATACTGAAGAGATACAGCATCACATATTTCTTGTCTAATAACCACAACACTCTGTGAAGCTGCCTGCTGGAATTCCATGAACAAACTGCTTCATGGACTTATTCCAGATGGTACTGAAGAGCCATCCTAATTTGCTACCATAAAACAAAAGCAATAATGTTCCTCACATTCATATCTATGTTTTTTGCCTTATTTTGCCTTGCACTGGCACTCTTTTTTTTTTTAAACTTTATTTTAGCTGCTATTAGCAAGGTGAAAGAGACGAGGTAAATGTAGGTAATCTAGGGCTTGTCTACACTGGCAAGTTTTGTTGCCAAAAACTGCCTTTTGGCGACAAAACAGCAAGAGCGTACACACTACAATGGGACTTTTGTCGCGAAAAACGCCCAGGTTTGGTAACAAAAAACTTCCACCCCTTCGAGAGACTTGTGTCTTTTCCCCTCCCTTTATTGTCGACAAAGAGCCAGTGTAGACACTGCTGATTATTTTGTCCACAGAACTGGCTTCCGCCAGTATCCCACAATCCCTGCCCTGATTGCTCTGCTCAGTGTTGTGATCTCTGCTGCCCTGCAGGCATGTGCCCCCCCCCCCCTTTCAAAGCTCCGGGAAGTATTTGTGTGCTGCTCCTTTTGGGGAACAAACAAAGAGCAAATCATTGGAATTCTCCTGTTCCCCTGCACTAGGAACACAGCAGGAGGCAGACGGCTGCTGCAGGGGGAGGGGGACAAACCGCTGTGCTGCTTTGCCATTCCTCCGCATAGAGAGCTCACAGAGCTGCTCATGATAATGCTCTGGGCAGCTGAGGGGGCTGTGGGAGAACTCTGAGAGAATCCCAAGATGCGCAGCGATACCTACCCACAGTGCATTGCTCACCCTGTCGATGACATGATATGATCTGTTGACAGAGGGAGCAAGTGTGAACACCCTTTAGCAATTTTTGTTTTGTCAACTTTTGGGTGTCGACATAAGTTTTGTCAACAAAACTTGGTACTGTAGACAAGCCCCTAGTCTCCACCTCCTCACTACAAGGGCCAGAGATGCTGAGGGGCTTGTCTTCTTTCCCACTCCTCCTACATGGCTGGGATGGTATGACTATCTGCTAGGCAGAGGTAGGAGCAAGTTGACATCTGTCACAGACAAGAAATAGCAAGAAGAGCATTGCTATATACATTTACACACACACACACTCTCTCTCTTAATTTGGGACTCCTGAAAGCAGCAGCTGGGTTGGGTGGGCTGAAGATTTAAAACATCTCCACTGACATCAAGCTTCAAAAACTTTTCAAGAGAATTGAAAATCTAAAATAAACAAGTCTCCCCAAACTGCTCTATTTACTTAACTTTCTGGAAATAATAAGCCTAAACAAAGGGAAAGAAAGCATCAGACATCTCCTTATACCTACTTATCACAATTATCCTTTAATCTCTTCTCTGCACACAGTTTATGGCACTTGGATCTGACTACTGATGTATTCCACACAGACAGTAGAATAAATTCTCCTCCAACATCAAAAAAGCCACAAGCAATTTAAGAATCCAACCAACACAGCAGAAAAATAATCCTTGGTGTATTACTAGTCTCCTACAACCACAACAACTACTGGCACTGTATCAAATAGTAAAAGTTGAAGAAGTAAAACTGAGCATGGGAAGGCAAAAGTCAAATCTTTTGGGGAAGCTAGCCAAGAAGATAAATCTGGCACGGAATTGTTCTCTCTCATGACCAAACTCTATATATTTTAAGAAATCTTACAACACACAGCAAGATTTTGTCACCGGTATTTGTAGAGCCAGCGGTCGATTTTCTGTGTGAATGACTTTTCAGCAGAAAATGAAGTTTCCACTTTAAAGCTGGACTACATCTCCCATGATACAATGCAGTCTCCCCTCTAATTGAGCAGTGTGGTGCATCATGGGAGTCACAAAGCTGTGGGGGCATCCTGGGAGGCCAACCCCTAGGGGACAACGGGGGCATCAGGCATCTGAACTACTACTACCTATGAGGCAATGTGCATTATCAGGAAATGCAATTTAATGTTTAACTTACCTGAAACTAAATGTTTTGGGTTAGTTCAACAAACCAAAATGAAATATTTCTATTCCAGAATATCAAAATG